TATATTGATTAATAGAAAATATTTATAAACCTTTTTCAACGTCTTCATTATGCTTCTTACTTCAATATCTGTTAGGTATGGATTTTTACAAAATATTTGTATCAATTGACAATATACTTCGACTCTCTTTCGTAGAACTATAGACATTTCTAATAAAAATCCAACTATAGCTGACAATTGTATCGTTACTATTGTTAAGTAACACACAGTGGATATTTGTGTTATTCCAATTGTGTTATTCCAATTCCTGAAGGATAAAACCATAACAAATAATGTACAATTTAATAACAATGCCGATGTAAACCAGAATATGTTATTCATTGAAGTATGTAACGAAAAATTGTTCATAATTTCGTCTAATCTCTTAAGTAAATTGTAAATACTCTTCAAAGTTTTCCTTTTCTTTACTAAATCATACATATTAATAAATTGAAAAAGCAGATGAATTGCTACATCCAGTAATATGAAAATTAAAACATCTATATCAGATTCTATAAAAGCTGTTACGTAGTAATATATAAGTAAACATAGAGCACAAAGCAAACTTGTTGTTAAAACTAACTGACAGAAAACATTTCCATTTTTTATATCCCATGGGAACAATAGCATCAATGCACCAACATTATACCAAAAGTTAAGAAGAAATGTGTCTTCCATCTTTTACTTTATACGAGTATGTATCGAATTTTCTTTTTAACTAATTAAATTTTGTGTTGAGTTTGTTAGAGATAATAATGTTCATCGCGTGATTAGAAAAGCAAATATTTCACGCAATAATAATATAATAACGCATCAGAATTTTTAATCTTATTAACTTAAAGTGTGAGCCATAAAGTTGGATCCTTATAATTTTTTTTTAATATTACGTCGTAGGGTAATTACTTCTGCTTAAAAACTTAAAACGGCCCATATTAAAGTTAGCTACTGACCAGGGGCGGTTTCTCTATTAGTTCACTTGTGTAGTGAAGATCCAGTTAAATTTCATAAAAACACATTATTTTAAAATTACATAATAAACATAAAAATATAAATTTAATTTTAATATTTTTATTTTCATACGTATTAATCTATATTTTTTGGTACATCATTGTCCTGTGGCTGATCGAGTCTCTGCGGCACAGTATACCTAAGTATAATAGTGACGTTCGGTTTGGCCAGGTTCTGGAACAGGACAGAAGCGTAGTTTATGTTCAAATATGTGCTGCTATTTCAAACTTTTAGTATCCTTTGATAAAAGAAGTTAAATATTATTGTTGACCTTTTTAAATTGTTTATTTTACCTTATACATTTTTTTTTTCTACTCTTCATACAGTATTCTGTGAAGAGTATTATAGGTTTACTTTGTCTGTCTGTCCGATGTCACATTTTTTTGTCTGCACGATAAGTTGAGAAACGAACTTGAAATTTTTAAGCAAAAATCAAGATCTATAAGGGGACAAAGGCTATTCACTTTTACAAATCTGATTAAAAATAGGGGGTTAATATGGGTTAAAATTAAAAAAAAAACAATCCTAAATTAAAAACGAAAAGCAATATCAACATGAAATCTTTAAGCTATTGCATAGCTTTTATCGTAAGCTTTGAGCCCGGCGACTGAGTCAAGAAAAAAAACCGACATGCGGCGTTAAACAATATTAACTTCTCAATTATTCAATAAAAGAAAATCGAAAAATCGAAAAATCGAAAAATCGAAAAATCGAAAAATCGAAAAATCGAAGAATCAAAAAATCGAAAAATCGAAAAATCGAAAAATCGAAAAATCGAAAAATCGAAAAATCGAAAAATCGAAAAATCGAAAAATCGAAAAATCGAAAAATCGAAAAATAGAAAAATCGAAAAATCGAAAAATCGAAAAATTGAAAAATCGAAAAATCGAAAAATCGAAAAATCGAAAAATCTAAAAATCGAAAAATCGAAAAATCGAAACATCGAAAAATCGAAAAATCAAAAAATCGAAAAATCGAAAAATCGTCGTTTTAGTACGGCAGACTTCGGCATGGTATTTGTGTGCGTGCGACTAGACGTATGCGTGAAAACTAGCTGCTAACTGCTCATAGCTGATTCTCTATTAGACACTATTTCGGAAAAATTTAATTTGAAAATGAATAATAATCCATAAGAATCCACAACAAAATATGGGACCACCATTTTCCAGATATTTTGAGGATATCAAGTCTCTAACTTATGTTTCTTATTTCAGTTACCATAAACCTATAGTTTCAATGATAAAAATTACTGAATAACCTACATGTATTGTAGGGTAATAAAAATATTTTAAACAATATTTTCAATATTCAATACAAGAAAAAAATTTGTTTTCTTATAGGTCTCCACGCTCAAAAATGTAACTTGAGGTTTTACAGTTTTTATAAAAGTGCACATGCACACACACACGCACAGGCACACGCACACGCACACGCACACGCACACGCACACGCACACGCACACGCACACGCACACGCACACGCACACGCACACGCACACGCACACGCACACGCAAACGCACACGCACACGCACACGCACACGCACACGCACACGCACACGCACACGCACACGCACACGCACACGCACACGAACACGCACACGCACACGCAAGCGCACGCAGGCACGCACGCACGCACGTAAGCACGCACGAACGCACGCAAGCACGCAAGCACGCAAGCACGCAAGCACGCAAGCACGCAAGCACGCAAGCACGCAAGCACGCAAGCACGCAAGCACGCAAGCACGCACGCACCTACGCAAGCACGCACCCACGCACGCACGCACGCACGCACGCACGCACGCACGCACGCACGCACGCACGCACGCACGCACGCACGCACGCACGCACGCACGCACGCACGCACGCACGCACGCACGCACGCACGCACGCACGCACGCACGCACGCACGCACGCACGCACGCACGAACGCACGCACGCACGCACGCACGCACGCACGCACGCACGCACGCACGCACGCACGCACGCACGCACGCACGCACGCACGCATGCAAGCACGCACGCACGCACGCACGCACGCACGCACGCACGCACGCACGAACGCACGCACGCACCCCCCCCCCCCCCCCCACACACACACATACACACACACATCATCGCGAAAATAGTCAAAACGGATTCAGGGAACCTCAAAACGTAAAAATCCGTCGAAAACTCGAGGTCGAAGAAAATCATGATTCCTATACTTTCCTTATATCTGTATACAGATAGGAAAGTAAAAATATGAATATATTGGGGAGTTAAGGCGGGTTAAAATATAAAAAAAAATCCTAATTGAAAAACGAAAAATGATATAAACTTGAAAGTTTTAGCAAACATCAATCTCTAACAGGAGAAGAAGCCTTTTAATTATATAAAAAAAAATATGATTCAATATAAGGGATTTAAGGGGAAAAGCGATATCAACAAAATTTTTTTAGTAAAAACCAAGCTCTATACGGAAATGAGGCCTATTGATTGTGAAAACAATCTGGTAGAAAATGGTTAGTTAAGGGGGTCTGTTAAACTGCGAAGAGTATCATTTAGAATGCCTGGCATTATATATCTTTATTCTCGTTTTTATCTATGTAACAGTATGTATTGTGATGGGACTGATCTTATAAAATAAACATTTAAAACATTTTACTTCTTATTTTATTTGTCAATAAAAGGTGTTTAAAATAGTATATTATGCAACGATAATGTAATGATGGTTATTAATACACGAGCATTAACCGGGATACGAAACGAGCCAAAGGCGAGTTTCGTATGGTTTATGCGAGTGTTTTAATAACCATTACATGAGAGTTGCATACGCTATTTTTTCTACACCCGATAAATAATCAAGACCTATAAATATTCTATTTATATTGGCATTGAACACAATAACAGTAATTACTCGTATTTCTATAAAAAATTCTACAAAATTGTAATTAATGGTATTACCTTGGGTATTGGTATTACCACAGATTTTTGGGGCAAAATATTTTGTACTGCATTTTCTCCTTTCTCCGATATGTGTGGAGAAGTCTTCTATATCGCTGATATCAGACATTTTAATATTATAATTATCGAAGTTTAGCTATCTACGAAAATTTAATACGTTTTGACAACTAAAACAATTACATAGGAATTTAGGACAAACGTCAAACATCATGCTTGATTGAAAAATTGTAGGTTTCTATTGATTAAAAATCTGTATCATAATGAAAAATCTGTATCATAATGGGTATCATTATGAAACGGATTATGGGCATATAAGTGCATTATTATAATACGGGTGTAGAAAAAATATATTTTTTATTTGACATCTGTGACAAATTGTGTTATCGTGACGGCATACATACAGACGATCAGACGAAAATTTTTTTTTGCATTTTCGGAATGATCGGAAACATGAAAAAAGTATAAAAAACTGGGGGTTAGAAAATTTTTTCGTATGCACGAATGCAATACTGAGGCCCCATAGGAAGGGCCTCAGTAATAGCCCTGACCACAAATGCAACGACCGAATCTGCAATGACACCATATATTATGAACAATTTATGGTTGCGCCCAATTTGTCTGTAAGATTAAACTGACCCTAAAATCTAGGCGCCCAGTTTACCCGTTCAGATTATGGAGCAGGTAACCTTCTTGTCCAAATCACCACCGCCGCTGATTACAGGTCAAATACTAAAACAATTGCCAAGAAAAGCTGTGTTTAAACTCACTAATATAATAAACGCAATGTTTCGACTGGAGCATGTTCCTAGTATCTGAAAAGTCGCTGTAATTATGATATCCAAACGTGGAAAATCACCAAATAAAGTAAAGTACTATAATAGACCAGCGCTTCTCAACCCATGGGACACGACCCCGTCAACATATTTCAAGGGGCCGCGAAGCCTTTTTAAAATGTTATTATGTCTACATTTTGCAACTTTCAAATATTATAACCGCGAGCCACCACTGCTACCGCAACTTTTAAACATTTTAACCACGAGCCATCACTGCTACCGCAACTTTCAAACATTTTAACTACAAGTCACCACTGCTACCATAATACTAACTTCTTCGAAAGCATTAGTCATCTTTGGAGAGATGCACAACCTGCGTGACACCCACTACAAACAGCAGACTAGTGTTGACTACTGATGCATACGCTTTAAAATAATTTTATTACAAAATTGTTGTAATAAGTAATCTTCCAAAGTGGTTTTAGTTGTTAATATTGTGACGAAAACTTAGTAAGTACAATTTTTAAGATTTTATGAACATTAGTGTGTCGTGAACATGCCGAAAACAGGGGGTTGAAACATAATACTTAATTTTAAGGTGAAGGGGCAGAAAAAGTCCTTTATATCTTACAATGAAATTAATTACCTCAACTCACACATGGCTACCCCCCCTTGTCAATAATACTTAATTACCCAGAAAATAGAAAATAGTTTTGGCCACTTATACAGAAAATAATAATAAATGTGCGTCGCATAGGGGGGTAACTAACTCATTTAGGCGAACAAAATGCATACCAAATTTTTATGTATTACAGTGTAATGAGTGTAAGAAAAGTGTAATAATTACACTTTTCTTAATGTCATTCTAATATTAGAACTAAGTTTGTAATTCAATTTAACTACAAATTAAGTATAATGTAAAGTGGACCTAACAAAATTTAAAAAAAATTTATTACATAAGACTTAATACAGTTGTTCCTTACCTATCGCTTGTTGTTTGGAGAAAATTATAACTAAACACGCAATATTTTATAATAAACTCGATTTTTCAAAAATTAAAAATCTAAAGAATACATGTTCATGTTGTATTTCAGATTTGACTAACTGCAATTGCAATGGTACAGGAACAAATGAAGATCCTTCTTGTTCAAATCAGAAACGAAATCTCGGTGGTGGTGGTGGTGGTGGTGGTGGTGGTGGTGGTTTTTTTTTTACGTAGAAGTGGAAAATCTTCAAAAGACACCTTTAGCCCGTGCTAAAGGTAGTGTGGGATTTTTACCGCACTAAAAAACCACTCCTAGAGGCACAAGGATGTACTTCCCGGGATCGCTCGCGGCATTACTTCAGGAAGTTGTTCTTTTAGATGTTATGACTTCTAATCTCTATTATTTGCAATCTTTTCTTTTATGATTTTTCCAATCATTTTGCCTATTTTTTTCCAATTTTCTTCACTCTCCATCATTTTATTAATAATATTTTCTTTGGTTAAGTTATCGTTCATTTCGTTTTCTGTGTTCTTTCTTACCTCCTTCCATTTCTCGCAGTGAAAAAGTGTGTGTTCTGCTGTGTCTACCTGGGAGCAATACATGCACTGGTTACTCTCCCTTATACCAAATCTGTGAAGGTAGTACATAAAGCAACCATGTCCAGTTAGGATTTGTGTTGTGTAGTAATCGGTGTTTCCAGAGGTGCAGCCAATCCATTTCCTAAGGTCCGGTATAAGACAAAAGGTCCATCTACATTTTTCGCTCTGTTCCCACTCTTGTTTCCATCTAGTTATGGTTCTTTCTCTGGCCGCTTTCTTCTCTTCCTCATTTTTCCCGTCTGTTTCAGTTCTCTTTTGAACTATTAATCGAAGCGGTATGATTTTGGATATAACTAGACTGCTAACAGTGGATATCGTTTTGTATCCTCTGCACACTCTTATTGATATCATTCTTTGTGTCTTTACTAATAAGTGTTGGTTCATTTTAAATTTAAGAGCTTTTTCCCAAACAGTAGATGCGTATAATATGATTGAGTTTACTATTGCGCCTAACATTCTTCGTTTGTACTCTGTTGCTCCTTCTATCCTAGGCATAAGTCTTATAAGTGAGGCTGACACATTTTTTGCCTTTGCAGCTGTCTTCTGTAGGTGTTCATTATATATTAAACCCTTATCTATTGTAATACCAAGGTAATTAACACTCCTGCTTGGAATTATAGGCACTTCATCGGCTTTAAACTGTACAGGTGTAGTCTGTTTTTTCTTCCCAATCAAGAGAACGGTTTCGGTCTTCTCCGGTGCAAGTTTGAGATCGTGATCTTTCACCCGTTGCTACTATTGCCAGGTCGTCTGCGTACGCTATCAGCTTTACGTTTTCCGGTATTGTAATACGCAATACCCCGTCGTACATGATGTTCCATAGTAGGGGACCCAGAACAGAACCCTGAGGAACTCCAGCAGATACCCAGTATTCTTTTCCTTCTTCGTCCACTATTCTTCGGTTTGTGAAATAGCTTGCTACAAACGTCCTTAAATATTTTGATATTTTTCGTCGCCTAAGTTCCATCATGATACATGATACATGATCATCCACGACGCTATATTAAAGGCATTTTTATTATCCATGGTTACCAATGCCCAGAATCCTCGCGTTCTTTGATTTTTCTTGGCTTCTTGTTCAGCTATCTTGGTAACTTCTTTAATTGCGTCCACCGTAGATTTGCCTTTTCTGAAGCAAAATTGACTCTCAGACAAGTTTTCCTTCATTTCAAGCTCGTTAATTATTCTTGCAGCGATGACATGTTCCGTTAATTTCCCCATGGTATCTAGCAAGCACAGGGGCCGATATGACGACGGTTCCTCCTCGTCTTTTCCGGGCTTTTTAATCAGGACTAATCTACCGATCTTCCATTCTGTGGGAAATGTTCCTGTGCTAATAATGTAATTTATGACATTTCGGATGTTGTTTGGGAATTCTCGTATTGCCAATTTGACAGCTTCCGGAGGTATCCTATCAGGTCCAGGAGCTTCGCGGTTCTTCAATTTTTTTGCAGCGCGATTTATTTCCTCTATATTTACTTCCGGGATTTGTTCATCTTCTCCTTGTTCGGGTATCCACGTTTTTTTGCCTTGTTTCGGGAATAGAGTGTTAATTATTTCTTTTTTAAAGTCTGCTGTAATATCCAGTGGCTTTGGTTTCAGCTTGCCCATAACAACTTGGTACGCTTTTCCCCATGGATCATTTTCCACGGATTCACATAGGTTTACCCATGCCAACGATTTACTTGTCATGATCATGTTTCGTAATGTCTTCCTGGCTCCTTTAAGTTTCGCTTCAGTCTCATTTATTTCTCTAATGTTTTTCTTATCAGTCCTCACTTTTTTCCTTCTTAATTTATTGCACTCGGCTCGTTGCGCTGCTATTTCGGTAGTCCACCAGTATTTTCTGCGATATCTAGGGTTCTCTGTTTTCGTGGGCATAGAGGAATCGCATGCTTCTTTCATTGCCTCTATGAGATCTGTTGGGTTTAATTCTTTTCGGCTTCCGATTTTAGTACTTAGCATTTGTTTAAATTTTTCTGGATCAAGCTTCTTGACATTCCAGCCATGCCTACAGGGTGTGCCTGCTATATCACCTTCTACCTCTCCAATTTCAAAATAAATAAACTGGTGTAGGCTCGCCGTCTCTTCCAGTAAAACTACCCATTTTTGAATTTGATCCTTACCGTTTTCAGAACTGAGCGTCAAGTCGATTATCGATTCTTGAGAGTTTCTGATGAATGTGGGCCTAGTCCCTTTGTTCTGAACTACAAGATTATTTTTGGCAAGCCATTCAGTGAGTTTGCGGCCTCTTGAGTCCTCTGTGCGAGAGCCCCATTCAGGGGATTTTGCATTAAAATCTCCAGCTACAATGATTTTCCTTTTGGTTCTTATAATATCGTCTTCAATATTCTGGAGATATCTTTCAAACTCATCCATTTTACAGTTTGGAGATATATAGCATGCTACTATTCGGTAGTCTTCGACGTTTAGCCAACAGTATCCTTTTCTTCTTTTTTTCCTACCTATTTTCATACCTGTCTTCATGATTTTAATTGCCGTGTCCCTGTTTTTGTCGCTTACCCAAGGTCCCTCTTTCTTTATTGTGTTAATGTGTGGTTCGCTCATTATTACCATATCGCAGTTTAGGTCATTTGCCACTACGTCAGTTAGGTCATGGGAGGCAACACTTCGTCCGAGATTAATTTGAAGGATTCTAATCACCTTGGTTTTCCTTGGTTTCGTTTGATGAGTTTTCCGAGAGTCACTCACCGTGTTCATGTTTGATGTTAAAGAGAACTAAGCTACTTGTTCGGAGGAGGACTGTTCTGTTTCTAGGTTTTCTATGGTTTTTATTGTCCCTTGGGCCTCTTCCATGATTTGTACAAATGCTGCAATGTGTTGTTCAATTTCTGTTTCCTCCATGGTTTTCTTATGAGCCTCTTCGGTAGTTTCCATATTGTTATCCTCCTGTCTTTCCTTATTGTTGTCCAGTTCATTATTATTTTCGCTCATTTGAGACGTTTGTCGGCTTACTTGCCTCTCTATACGTCTTGCCCTACCTAGTGCTTTTTTAAATGCTTCACACTTGTTTGTGCCGGTCCTATGATCGTCAGTATCACATAATGGACAATATTCTTCATTATTGCACTCCCTGGCTGCGTGTTGTTCTTTTCCACATTTAAAACATGTTCTCGTTCTATCAGGTCCGTTGCAGAGTCTGGCATCGTGATCGTATGACCAGCATTTATAACACCTGGGTATCGTTAGTTTCTTCTCTATCCTACACCTCACTATTCCGATACGAATATGCCTCTCTTTAAGGAGCATTTCACCATCTGTCTTATTGATTGCCACCGTTGCAGCCTTTGTGTTATTTGAGAGAGGCCTTAGTTCACTGATTGTGTTGTTTTCGTCCCACTTCCCGACGTGTGTCGTAATTGCTTGCTTTACTTCTTCCTTAGTAGCATTCAGCTCCATTCCTTTAATATGTATAACTTCTCTTGTATCTGATAACCCTATTTGTTTGCATTGAAGGAGGGAAGGTCCTTCTTTCAATGCTTCTTTAATGTGTTGTGCCGCTGCCTCATTTTTGTCCATCGTTATTAACAGTTTCCCATCTTTCGTACTACGTATAGTTTTGATGATCTCGTTATGTGGGTTTTTTTCTATTATCTCTTTGCACTGGTCAAGAATATCTTTATGTTTTCTTTATCGCTAACCACGAATCCTATCGAAGTTCTTTCTTTTTGCTCTTTTTTGTTTGTCTTATCATAAGGCACATACACGGTCACAAAGTTATTGCTGTCGTGAAATATTGCTGCTGCCATCTTCTGCAGGCCAGTCTGGGACATAGAGCTAATCGCGTGGATAGCTATGGTCTCGTTTTCTTCAACCTCCTCTTTGACCTTAGACAAGTAGGCCCACAGGTCGTCTTCCTTATCATTAGGTACTATTCTTATAATTTTACTATTTTTTTGTACGTGTCTTTTGGATCTTAGTTTTATCGTCTCTTCTAGGATTTCGAAGTCATCTTCTATTTGCTCTAATTCTGGGTATTTGTCTTTATATATTTTCTGAATTCCGTTGTTCATTTTGGGGTCTTTTGGTTCAACCATAACTACTTTGGCCGACTGTTTTCCTGATTCGAAAGGATAACCCTTCTGTATTTCCGTGTTTGAGAGGAGTGACTCTTCCCATTTCAGCTTTGATACATTTTTCCATTTAGCATAGCTGTCTACATCTTCTAGGGTCTTGAGCTCTAATTCTTTTGGGTGGTGGTGGTTTTTTTTTTTTTTTTTTTTTGGTGGGTGGTAATCCATTACGGACACCAGGCATATGGTTCTGCCCGTACCTGGTAGTGTGGGACTCCCTGCTGAAGGGTGTAAGGCCGGTGTACCCACTAAACCCACCCCATCGCCTGAGTAAGGAATCTATTTGGGACTGCCGTCAGGCATTACTTCGAATAGGTCAACGGTTTCAATTGATGTTACGGTTTCTTTCCTTTTTTTATCTTTGAACTTCCATTTCTCGGCGTTTTAAGCTCAACACTCTTGTGACCATTTTATCCACTGTTCCCCAGGTAAGTTCGCTCTCTAGCATTTTAAACACTTCATTTTCGGGAGTAATTCGACCTATTTTTAATTCCGCTTGTGTTCTCTCCTCAGTCCATCTTACGCATTCGAAGAAGGTATGCTCGGTTGTGTCCGGAATATCGCAATATATGCATTTATTTTCTTCTTTTATTTTAAACCGATGGAAGTAGAAGTTGAAGCATCCATGTCCCGTTAGGAGTTGTGTAAGGTAGTAATTTACCTGTCCGTGTTTCCTGTTTACCCATGGTCTAATGTCAGGTACGAGTCTCTTGGTCCAGTTTGCTTTTCCAGCATCCTCTTCCCATCTTTGCTGCCATTGATCCAGTATTATGCGATTAGCTTCTTTATTGTCGTATCCTTGGTCTAACATAGCTTTTTCCTGGTGGTGGTGGTGGTGGTGGTGGTGGTGATAATGGTAATGGTGTAAAGAAAGAAAGTACTGCAAAAAGAGTTAGAAAATATTCAGATGATTTTTTTTTTGATATGGATTTTCAGTTATTGGTCAAAAGGCGTATACATGCAATGGCAAATGATATAAAAAAAGACCTGATTCACAGAGTTCGTTGGTATTCTCATATTTCTCTGCAGTTGGACGAATCTACTGATATTTAAAATCAAGCACAATTGCTGTGTTACGTTGGTTACATGACAAATCTGTTTTTGAAGATCTATTGTTCATCTCTGCTATACGTACAACATACAACTGCTGAAAATGTTTTCAACTGCTTAAATCAGTTTATAATATCATATAATATAAACTGGTCCGAATGTGTGGGTCTAACTACTGATGAAGCTCGGGCCATGTGTGGAAAATTTAAAGGACTTTCAGGACGTGTAAAGGGAATAATGCCCTCGATTCCTTGGTTTCACTGTCTCATTCACAAAGAAGCTCTCGTTGCGAAGAAGATTCCTGATCAACTAAAAGCAACATTGGATGATTCCATTAAAGTGGTTAATTTTATAAAAAGCAGAGCATTAAATTCAATACTCTTTGAAAAATTATGTGCAGACATTAATAGTGTTTATCATCAACTCTTACTGCACGCAGAAGTTCGTAGGTTGTCACGAGGAAAAGTTCTGAGCAGATTGTTTCAACTAAAGGACGAGGTCCGATTATTTCTCAGTGAGAAAAATTTTCATCTCGCAGACCGTTTCAACGATAGTTTTTGGCTAACCAGATTGGCCTATTTAGCAGACATATTTAACCACTTGAATTTACTTAACCTTAATTTACATGGAAATGGAATTTCAAAGTTTCAAGTCAAAGATAAGATTGAAGGAATGATAAAAAAATTGGAATTGTGGCTGCACCATGTTAGAAAAAATAAGTTTGATTCTTTTCACAAATTAAAAGGACTTTTAGAAGAAAATGAAGAGACTCTACTTGATTGCGATAAATCACGCTTTTTGCAGCATTTGGACGCATTAAAAATCACATTTCATGAGTATTTTCCCCTGCCAACAGTCAACAATACATGGATTAGAAATCCATACTCGATTGAAATTACATCAGAAAATGAAGGTCTAACAGCACTAGAAGAAGAACAGTTTATAGAACTGTCAACTGATGGTGATTTAAAAAGTAAATTCAATCAGCTTGTACTCGAAGATTTTTGGATATTTGTGAAAGATTCATATCCGGAAATGTCAAACAAAGCCTTGAATTTTTTGATCCCTTTTTCTACTACATACTTATGCGAAACTTTATTTTCTGCATTAATGTATGTAATAAATAAGTATAGAAATAGTTTGAAAAACGTTAAAGAAGAAGTAAGGCTAAAATTATACAAAATTAAAACCAACCGATAAATGCAAGATCAAGGATCACATTAATTTTACAAAAAATATTATAATTATTATAATTAACACTTGTTCTTTAAAAAATAAAACTTCCCTAATATAATTTTCTTTTATTGTTTTATGTCAATAGCCGCCAACTTTATACAAAGCTGATCAGGGGCCGCGAGGAAAAAAGGTTAAGACGGTTGACCTATATTCCTGTTACCAGCGTTATCTAAACTTTTCGAAAAACTTTTATTAAAAAGATTGAAATCAATGATAGACAGTAAAAATATAATACCTGACCACCAATTTGGATTTATGAACAAGCATTCCACTCTAGACCAAGTCCACAGAATAACAAATGAAATAGATAAGAAACTGGAAGAAAAAAAGATCTGGACCTCACTCTTTCTAAATGTAGCTCATAGTCGAAGCAATGAAGTAAAAAATTCCTGGGTTTTTCCGTGCTAGTCGAATCGGAATGCGGTTTTTTGCATTCGCTTGCAAAAATTATTTGTATCATTCCCCCGTAATTTCCGGGTCATACAAACCAGAAGTTGCATTGCTGCAGCCAAAAATGCATTAAAAAAATGCATTATTTGAGAGGCCTCTTGGATGATTTCAAAACTTGTTATATAAGTGTCACAACTAGCCCAGATCGGGTTCTCGGGGGTTTTCGAGGTCGCTGATCACGATTATGATGTCTAAATTGACCCACAGCCGACCTGGAGCTCAGGAAGGTTGACGAACGTCATCTTCGTGGGACTCTCCCAAAATTCACGCGGGCAAAGAGGGTAACTAGGCGATCGGGGTTTTTTTGGGCCGCTGAATCCAAATATGGCTTCGGCGAATACTCCCAGGATACCTGGTGCGCCCAAACCTCGACCTGGACGTCATCTCCGAGAATTTTTCTCACAAAATCGACAACCCAAAAATAATTGAGCAGAGTTTTTTGGGGCGCTGAATCTAAATTTCACGTCGAAAACGACCCCCTGAACACCTGGTGCACCGGAACTTGGCCCTGAACGTCATCCCCAAGCGGTTTCCAGACACAATTGAAACAGACGAACCGAAAATCGTTCCGGGGGTTTTTTTGGGGCGCTGAATCCGAATTTCACGTGGAAAACGACCCCCCGAACACTTGGTGCGCCCTAACTTGGCCCTGAACGTCTTCAACGAGGTTTTTCCAGACCCAATTGAAAAAGACGAACCGAAAATCGTTAAAGGGGTGTTTTGGGTCGCTGAATTCAAATATGGCATCGGCGAACACCGCATGGACACCTGGTGCATCTGAACCTAGACCTGGACGTCATCTACGAGGCGTCAATACTGCAATAGCTGTGTGCAATTGTTTATTCTAGATTACGTGAGGAGAAAAGAAAGAGACAATATTTATGTAATTTACGGTAAAACAATTTTTATTGGCCTTAAATCGAATACAATGAATCTGTAAGTTTGTCATTCCTTAATTAATTAATAACTCAAATGTGTCTGGTCATTTTCTTCGTCATCGACTGATGTATTCATACGGGGAAAATCTCCCTCATCTGAGGCCTCTGTCTCTGACACATTAACGTTTTCATCTAAATATCTTTCAGTGAACCTTCACAAATTTTACAGGCAAGATTGCAAGGTAGGCCGTGCTTCCTGCAACTACAGGTGTTACAATCTCCTTTGCATCCACAGAATATTAGTTCCATAATTTTCTTTTTCAATTGGGTCTGGAAAACCTCGGTGAAGAAGTTCAGGGCCAGGTTAGGGCGCACCAAGTGTTCGGGGGGTCGTTTTCCACGTAGAATTCGGATTCAACTCCCCAAAAAACCCCCCGGAACGATTTTCGGTTCGTATTTTTCAATTTTGTCTAGATACCCCTTGGGGATGACGTTCAGGGTCAAGTTCCGGTACACCAAGTATTTAGGGGGTCGTTTTCGACGTAAAATTTAGATTCAGCACCTCAAAAAACTCCGCTCAATTATTTTCGGGTTGTTCTTGTCGATATTGTGAGGAAAATTCTCGGAGATGACGTCCAGGTCGAGGTTTGGGCGCACCAGGTGTCCGAAGGGTATTCGCCGATGCCATATTTGGATTTAGCGACCCAAAAAAACCCCGATCGCATAGTTGCCCTCCTTCCCCGCGTGAATTTTATGTTTAAAGTATAACCCACCCTAAAGTTATACCACACTCTACGATGTTGTGTATAATTGGTTGCCGCTACGACTGACATTTAAAAATAACACCTGTGTAAAATCACAGTATTGTCAAGAGCGGGTATAAAATTCAGATATCTGTGAACCGTGAATTCGTGATTTTTTTAAAAATATTTCCAGAGGTTTTTTGGTGCTGAAAAAATTATCGGTAAGTAGTGTATACCTTATACCTTTAGTTTTTTGTGAGGGCTGCTAGAGCTCCATAAAAGTCTTAACCGCCTGTAGGCGGACCTATGCATTAGAATTCTCAAAAAAATTAATTACCGCTATTCATTGATTTGTCTTATTTCTTGGAAGAGAGGTAATAATCGTTTATTCCCTTGTTTAAGAAAAATTATATATTTGTAGAAGACTATACTGAGTGTTCTTTAAAAGTTAGGAAACTGCAATATCAAAAGTTAGACTTAGATTATGTAAATTTTCAGTTATGGCTTGGCGAAGAAAATATTTGGGCTTAGAAAATATGACTGACGATCAAATCCATAAAATGATGGATGAGATCCCTACGGATATTGACACCAGCGATGAGGACGAATCAGATTGCGATACTGATGATGATATCGACACGTGTTCAAATCA